GTGTTGTGTGTGTGTGTGTGTGTGTGTGTGTGTGTGTACTCACCTAGTTGTGGTTGCAGGGGTCGATTCATAGCTCATGGCTCCGCCTCTTCACAGGCAGCCACTGGGTCACTCTTCCTGCACTATGAGCTTTGTCATACCTCTGCTTAAAGCTATGTATGATCCTGCCTCCACTACATCGCTTCCCAAACTATTCCACTTCCTGACTACTCTGTGACTGAAGAAATAATTCCTAACATCCCTGTGATTCATCTGAGTCTTCAACTTCCAACTTTGTCCCCTTGTTGCTGTGTCCCATCTCTGGAACATTCTGTCTCTGTTCACATTGCCAATTCCTCTCAGTACTGTATACGTAAAGTAAAAGGACACAAGTGCAACTAATGTGACATTTATTGTGCAACGTTTCGCTCTCCAGGAGCTTTATCAAGCCATTACAAACAATACATGGACACAGAGGGTATATAAAGGCTCAGAGTGAGGTGCAATACTAGTGAGGTACCATTTCGATGTTCACTAGTGGTAGTAGTAGTAGTAGTAGTGTAGTGACAAAAGTAATACAATATGGTAGAGCAATTAATTCGTACATGAGTAAAAGGATATAAAAGCTATTACTTGGGTAACATAAAAATAGGTTGGACAAATATAGACTGGAAAGAGGCAGCTTGTTTCAGTGTTCACCCTCTGTAATGTGCTTTGTGTAGTATAACAGGAGAGACTATGTGATGGCAGGGTTTATTGCTTTCAGGAGGATTCTTGCTAAGACTTCGGAGATGGTGAAGCTGCCGTTGTTTTGTTTAATTGTATTTGAAACAGCGATCAGTGCTGATTCGAGGCACTTGCGTCTGCGGAAATTAGTTTCTTTGATCACTAATTGGGCGTCTTTGAATTTCATGAGATGATTGGTGGAATTTCGGTGTTGTACACAGGCGTTGTTAAAGTATCGTTCCTACATGCGTAATGTGTTCATTGAGGCGGGTGTCGAGGTTTCTTGCTGTTTCACCTACGTAAATCTTGTCACAGCCTCCACAGGGTATAGTGTAAACTCCTGCATTGACTGGTTCGTGGTGCTTGGATTTTGTCCTAGTTAGATCCTTTATTGAAGTGCTAGAAGCGATGGCGACTCTGGTGTTAGCTTGTGAAAGTACTTTTGAGACGTTCAGTGCAACTTGGCTGTTGGGAAGAATTATAACTTTGTTGGGAGTGGTGTTGATGCGTAGAGAATTAATGATCTGAAGATCTCTTTTCTTGCAGTCTTTGATGAAAAAAGAAGGAAAATGTAATTCAGTGAATGTTTGGTGAATGTATGTACATTCCTCGTCAAGAAACTCAGGACTACAAATTCGGTATGTACATACATTCACCAAACATTCACTGAGTTACATTTTCCTTCTTTTTTCATCAAAGACTGCAAGAAAAGAGCTCTTCAGATCATTAATTCTCCACGCATCAACACCACTCCCAACAAAGTTATAATTCTTCCCAACAGCCAGGTTGCACTGAACGTCTCAAAAGTACTATGGCTATCTTCTAGCCATGGCTAGAAGATAGCCATGGCTAGGAGATACAAACATGGTTTGCACAACACACACTACACACCTTCATTCTGCTACTCAAACTTTTCTTTTAAAACTTAAACTCCTGACTGTCCTCGCGCGGAATGAGAGAAAAAAAACGTGATTCTCAAAACATTTTTTTTCTTAGAAATAGAAAAGGTTGAGCTGAGTACTAGTTTTCTTCAAAGAAATCTGTTCACGAGCACTCAGGTATATTGTTGTGTTTCCACTGTTTTTCCCATTGCTTCTGCAGGAACTTTTTTCTTCACGCAAACAATGAGTGTAAAATGGGCAAAAATAATTTTCTTTCTTGGATCTGAGGGAAGAGAATAAAATTATACGAGTCTTCGAGTAGAACATCTGTAGTGTAAGCCGATCATATTCTGAATAATAGTTACGTGATGGAAACACTCGTAGTGTGCAGCTACACTTATTCCATATGATAGTTACATGTTTCTCTGTCATAGTCCATCATACAGGATGAATTACATATAGAGGTAATGATAGCTGCTAGCCTTAGCTGGATAACTTCAGTAGGGCGATGCTAATGTCAAATATCTCTCTATGGGTTCAGTAGCTACCTTCAACCTTTCTTTGAGTTACTGTTACTTGGGTGATGAGGATATCGTTAATCAAGCATTTCTCCAGATCTTATAAGACATTAAATGCTTGCTGAATTTAATGGGCTTAGAGGCTTCTCTGAAAGATACAATTTCAGGAAGTGGCTGATATAACTGGTATCGTTGCGGGATGCTAGGAGCGGAGGAACAACATACCGATAGGAGTGAGAATGTCGATAATGAGTGACAATGACCACAACTTGTGAACTCTGAGAGAGATCGTGTGATGAGAACAAGAAGCGATAATAGAAAAAAAATATTTTGCAATTAATTGCGATGTTTCACAGATTAATGGAAAACGACAATGGCAATAACTCACTATTTTTATTATTTTATTATTATTATTATTATTATTATTATTATTATTATTATTATTATTATTATTATTAATTTTATTGTTATTATTATTACTGCTACTATTACAAGTATTACTATGATTATTATTCTTTATTATATTATTGTTATTATTATTATTATTATTATTATTATTATTACAACTAATACTACTATTACTACTATTATTATTATTATTATTAGTAGTAGTAATAGTAGTAGTAGTAATATAATTGTTATTATTATTATTATTATTATTAGTGTTATTGTTGTTATTATTAATATAATTATTGTAATAATTATTGTTATTAGTATTATTATTAGAACTACTTAATCCATTAGGAAAGAATGGGACAACATACCAGGTTTTTTCCACCTACGTGAGTATCTTTTCATCTGCTTCACCACAATACTTTCCTTCCTTCCTTTCTCTCCTCACGACTCCACCTGTTCCTCCCTCGGGGTAAACATACAAGAGGTTCTCTTGTTAAGTATGTCTGTTAAGCAACTCACTATGTTTATTCAGGTACTTATCCATTTACCTTCTCGTTTTCTCGGCTCTTTCGCCTTCTGACACCTTTTTTCCTGTGGCTTCTTGTCCCTGACCTTTCTCATTCATGACCTTTCTCGAATTCTTTGACGTCTCGCATCAAGTTATTTACTCATGCGTACATCTCTCCTCTGTCTCACTTCTCCTTGCTCAAAGTCACTTGGAGTAGAGTACAACATACACTTGTCAACTCTTGCCTATGTAAAACGTCATTTTCTTTCTCATTTGGTGTTTGTGTGAGATTTATTGTTTATTTCTGTATTTCTTTACTACCATTATATATATATATATATATATATATATATATATATATATATATATATATATATATATATATATATATATATATATATATATATATTACTATTTTTATTATTATTAGTTTATTAACATATAGGCCGATTCCCACCAAGGCAGGGTGACCCGAAAAAGAGAAACTTTCATCATCATTCACTCCATCACTGTCTTGCCAAAGTCGCGCTTACACTACAGTTATAAAACTGCAACATTAACACCCCTCATTCAGAGTGCAGACATTGTACTTCCTATCTCCAGGACTCAAGTCCGGCTTGCTTGTTTCCTTGAATCCCTTCATATTATTGTACCCACGAACGGGTGGTATTGATCATTAACTACACCACTGCGACTAGCCAAGGAGTCGAACCCATGATGTTTTGGCCTGCCTCATGGTGAGCGAAAACTCATGACGCTCTAGTCCACAGGATCACACAATCCTCAAGAATGACGCACCCAGCCCAGCTAGGTGTTGTACGCGCCATCCGAGGACATACGTTGGTGTGGATGCCTCTGAGCTAATTTCATTCTAGTCCCTGTTTGGTGTACTAGTACAACGAGCAGTATTTTATATTATTGTTCTCACGAACGAGTGGTATTGATCAGTAACAACACTGCGACTAGAGCGTCATAAGCTTTCGCTCACATGAGGAGGGCCATAGCATCATGGGTTCGACTCCTTGGCTAGTCGCAATGTTGCTATTGATATATATATATAATATATATATATATATATATATATATATATATATATATATATATATATATATATATATATATATATGTATTCCATTATAGTTAGCTTCAAGCAAATGATATTTTATTCCCCTCATAGGATTTTTTCATTTTTTATTTGTTTTTGTTCTTGTTTGTCGAAATCAGCGATAATTTCCTTGCCATCTTATATGCCTAAGAAAATAGTATATTTGTTTAATTTTACTGTTTGTGTCTCACGATTTCAGAATAGACTTCACGTTTTCTCACTAAATTCTTATGGTAAAACTCAAATCTCAATTAGATAAGAGTCATTAGTGAAGATGGGAGTCATAAATGAGAAATGTATGTGAAAATAATGTATGGTCCCTCCCTGTTTACCTGGAGACAGGAAGGTACTAATGTTCTGCTCTACTAGTGTGAGAGGGAAGGGTGGTAGACGTTTTGCACTCTGGCAGTAGGCTAGAACTCAGCAGTCGTCCAGGAAGGTACAGTCGTCCTCTCATTTAAATATAAAACGGAAGTTTAAACACGTCGGCCATGAAGATGAAAGTTAAGACACTTGTGCAACATCTGGGTATCTTTATTGTAGATGTTTCGCCATCCAGTGGCTTTATCAATACAGATTCTTGGACATAATTAGAAAACAGAAGAACTATATACAAAAGATGAGGTAATCAGTCCCTCAGCCTTGGAGGTGGTGTTTACAACACCGTGGTTATAGAGATTCTGAAGCACAGGTAAGGAGACTGGCGGTTATATAGGCGTCAGTGAATAAATACGTGTAGCAGACGAGGGCATAGGCAATGATAGGCGGGATTCCCCAGTGGAAGTAGGTCCTACCCAAATTGATGGGTTAATTGTAGAAGCCATGAAGATCATGTAGATGTCCTCTGAACTAAGATTCAATTTTCTAATCACCATTGTTTTCAACAGACTGGCCCTGACACTATACTGAACGAGCTAGTGTATGTTTTCGGGGCGCCTCTTGGGTCCCTGGGACCTCTCTCCTCCGGTCTTAACTTCACTAACACGGAGGTGGCCCTGAGTGAGGCAGTAATTACCATGTGGACCAACTTTATCAAGACAGGGTAGGTATCCTTTGATATACCTGAGAACGGCTTCAAGGAGACTTTTTCGCATATGTATCAATGCTTATATACACTGAGAAATGCGTATCTCACAGCGTATGTACAGTGAGAGGTATGTATCTTAGGGTATATAAACCAAGAGCTAGTATCCTGAGCTTAGTGTATAAACACTAAGAGTGGTTTATTTATTCTCAATGTTTTGTATTAAAGTATTCACGACTTGTGGTGTACAGGTGATATATTGTTTGAAAGTTTTAAACATTAACTAACTAAAATAACAAACTAATTATCTGTCTACTTATATATCTATCAATCTTTCTTCTGTCTATCTATCTATCTATCCATCTAGGGTATGATGAGCGTAATTCCAAAAAAATGTTTTAATATTTTTGCCAATCAAACACGCAAGAATGGTTTTAAAGTTATACTCCGACGATTTCCATTAAATGAAACGAAATATTGTGTATTTACTGGAGCCGTAAATACATGAAATAGACTGCCACATGAAGTAATTAAAAGCAATCCCAAATATACATTCTGAAAACGAATTGTATACATAACGCTTTTAGTGCTTCCCCTGATTAATAATAATAATAATAATAATTATAATAATAATTCATGACTCGCCTTTCCATAGGAACCCCAACGAGAGTGGGGCTGGAGAGGGCTGGGCTATTCCGAAAGAGAAACAACGGTACCGTACACAGGACTGGGCCAACTATGACCCCATACACAGGAGATACCTCGACCTTGGTGAGTTGCATCGCTTGCTCTACCGTGGAATCCGAGTGTTGAATAAAAGATGTGAATGGGGCACATATACAACACTTGGATATCCTTACTCAGAAGAAATTTTTCTAACCAGTGATTTTTTCAATCCATTGCTGAGAAAAAATACCGGAGACGATAGGAAAGATGGAGAGGTAATTTCGAAATGTTCGATCTCTTAAAGAACTGATCTCCTCCTATCAAGGTTGAGAGATTGAACACCTTAAATTTACCTCTTCCACAGTACCCAGTATTATATTGAAGATAAAATTTAGTGGTTATCGATGTGTCTCATCAATGAAGAAACTCAAGTGTATCAGATGTCTCATTCATCATCTTGGTATTGTATGCTATTAATGTAACGTCAGGTATTATCTAACAAATCTAAACTAATCTATAATTGTCTGTAACAAAGGTTTGTTCTTTAGCAACTGAATTTCTGTCTTGTGGGACATGAGGTGGTTGCTGGATCTCTGTTATAAAAGTAAGTGGAGAAACAGTTGGGTATGCCAGGCAAAAATTTTTGTAAGGGCTATTGTCGCACAAACTGGATAAGTTTCAGCAGTCTTGGTCTCGGGTCTTTATCAAGGCTGACAGCCAGATTACTTCATCTTTCACTGCCTCCAGTATTCTCTGTATTAAATTTAAAAAAATCACTGGCTGGCGAAGCATTTTCATAATCCAGATACGCAGGTGTTGCATAAATGGCTTATCAACGTAACGATTATCGTATAAATTTTTCATGTCAAAATACTGTGACTTTTATTGTTCATCTTTAAGCTCTAATACTTGGAAAAGTCTATTTAGAAGAATGCTATTTAATAGTTTGCATATGATGGTATGTATACGCCCACGGGGCGAATATGGGGTGAATAATAAATATATTAAACTAAATGCTGGAAAGTGTGAGTTTCTCCGAATGCCTAAAGATTTTAACGATTGTTAACCATATGTGTGTTTCTACAGGAGGGAGGGGTCGTGTTCGTGACCACTACCGTGCCGGTCGTGTGGCACTGTGGTCGTGGCTAGTGCCAGGTCTGGAGAGGGTTGGCTCTCGTTACGGGCCAGATTCTCCATTCCACCGACTGCCTAATTACCTTCAGCCGGATACCTTCTCCGGACCCACACGCCCAACTAATCTCTCCAGCAACTTCCTGCCCCCTCCCACCACCCAGCCACCCACCACCCAACAGGTGTCCACGCCCGCCCACAGTACACTCCGGCCCACACAGCAAGTTATCCTCAATAGCAGTAGCGTTGCAGGTCTTCTGGAAAACCTTGACTCTAATCCCAAACTGCAGAGTGGCTTCCCTTACACCACGGCTCTCAGCCTCACAGTGGCAATTGGCTGCTCTCTCCTCATCCTAAACCTGCTGGTGTTCGCTGCTGTTTATTACCGTAGAGACAATTCCCGTCAGGCGTTTAGCAAAACTAGCCACGACGGAAGCAGCGACAGTGGAAACGACGTTCAGCTTCACCCTGCATGCGAACCTTGCAAACCCATCTCACCGTCGCACTACGGCACTCTGCGTTCGTCCGCGACGCTGCGAAGTAGCCTGGCTACTTCCTTCGAGGGAGACCCACAGCACGAGTGGCCACCAGACTACACCAGCAGCTGCCAGGGCGGTGAAGACGGTCCCCTGTGCGCTCCGAGCAGCCAGTGCTTGATGCCAGGGACTGGCCAGCCACACAACGGTACAGCCTCTCGACGCAGCGTGCAGAGACAGACTCTTTCCTATAATCCCCACGTCGACACCCAGCTCTCGCCCACCTCCTACACTCACGACGACACCCCAGATATGCATGTCTGAGGCTACACCTGCCGACTATATGAACGTGTTGTGGGATCCCTCTCTGCATGGAACCGTTCATCTCTTTACTGTTTATGTGTGGCGAGGGAGTCACACCAGGCCAACACATTATATATAAGTGAACTATAAAAAACATTATATTTAATAATCTGTTATATATTAAAAGGAACACCTTGAATGTTGAGTGTATTGCACAATGAGGTATATATACACTCACTAAGTGACTCTTTTGAATGGAAATATATCTATGTTGGAATATACTTCGCTCAAGAATTCTGGAGTGTTTGGTGAATGCTATTGCTACAATCACGGTGAAGCGACAAAACCCTTATAGACCATAACAGAACCTGGGAAATGGGAGACAATCGGGTTTGGCCCCGAGGAAGGACAGAGAAGATCTAATGCCAAAGATCAAGAGCCTTCACTATCATCAAGGAGCCCATATTGAAGAGGAATATTCGGTTCAAACCTCCATGAACACTTAACTCGTCGTGGTCCATAAGACCTTCAGATATTTAGAGGTCGCCACAGATCACCAGAGGTCAACACAGGTCACAAGAACATCTAGAGCCAACCAGAGAGCCTCCATCACTGGCATTTGACTTAATTATGAAATCAATTACTAATAATTTAAACAAAATATCATTTCGTGTAAATGATATTTTGTTTCTCATGAGAAATGTGAATATTTTTCCTGACTGTGTTTGCTAGTTTGGATACTTCTCAATTATCTTTTTATTAACCATATTTAAGCAAAATCACCATTAAAATAGCAAAATTTTCAGTAAATAGGAGAAATTTACTGGTCTCGATTTGTTTGATACTGGTCTTAATTTACGAATGCACATTGACCGCTTATCCAAGGATAGAGGATTTATGTCATTGGTTATATGATTAAACTGTGTCTATCATCAGTAACTCACAGGTGAAGCTGTGCAACTATCTGTGATAGACAATACCAGTAGAAAACACTCTTTTCGTGTCTGGTGCATGTATAGAAAACCAGTATGTACGGTACATGTACAGAAAACGAGTTATGTACAGTACATATGTGGAGAACATGCTGTGTATGGTACATGTACAGAAAACGTATTGTGAGGTAAACTAAAACATTCCTCCGTCGTACGTGTCGAATGCAATAAGAAAAACGTTCTTCGTGTAGTGTTCAGCAGTAACTCATCTAAAGACAACTGTGCCAACAGGAAGAAAATGGTAAACTCTGTCTTTATATAAACCTCTCAAGGATTAAAATGTTGCTGTTGGATATGCTATAATGAAATCCAGTTGATCAATAGCATAAACGAACCCCCAAGAAGCTATAAGAAAATAAATGTTCCATATTTCGGTCTCATACTGAGGTCCTCTTCAATTTGCTAAAGATGGATTTAATGTAAATTATACAGTAGTACTTGTCGTTTTTTAATGATGCATTGTGGGTTCGTTCCTATCGTTCAAGAAGTATAGAAAATGAAGGGTAGATTAGTGACTGCCAGAATTTTGTTACCTTGTCAGTGCAAGAGGTAGCAACGAGTATTATAGTAACACCTTTGTGTCATGTTGCTTAAATTTACAATAGGGTTCACATTAAGATTCGGGCCATCTCCTCATGAGAAAAAAAGATAAATTAGTTATGCAAATTATTGACAGAATAATTTCTAATTTTCAAGCAAATCTCACCGACTATCTTACCAAATCATGCAAAAATTTTCGTAACAAAATATAGATTGTTTTGTCTATCTTAACTTAAAATTTGCATAACACTATTTAGATGTATTTTCTTGGGGGTGAGCAAATCTTATGGTGACCCAACAACATTGTTGAGCTTTCCAAGATTTCCATACGTTTTATAATCATCATTTATTTGCCTACAGAGTTATGGGAAAGAAAATATAAAAAAAAGAAATTGGCATTCTTTTGTTTGGTAGTTTAGAGAAATTAATATGGGAACATAACTTTCCCCATTGTGATGGCTGGTGTTCTTAATCTGGTGAGTTAACAAGTCACTTAATGCTCGTTTTCATGTGTCCCGCCTCAAATATATCTAGAGGGGTAACCAATAATTTGTGTCCTGTTGTTCATCAGTGATGTTCTTTAAAAATTTTCAACCTGCTGATCATTCCTTTTATAAATTTTAAGTGTTAAAAGTCAAAATTACTGTAAAATGCATTGTAAATATGGCAAATGTGTGTATATATAAATATATATATATGCACTTGGGTGGGAATCGAACCCATGGCACCACGTGTACAGGTCGAGCGCTCAACAAGTGAGTCATGTTGGTTGCTAAATAAAAGGAACATTCCTATATATATATATATATATAATATATATATATATAATATATATATATATATATATATATATATATATATATATATATATATATATATATAATATATATATAATTATCGCTGAATAGGTAAAACTCATATAAAATTAAATCCTTTCTAAAATTTTCTCATATACATTTAAAGATATATTTTTTCAATATGTTAATGTAAAAATTAATAATTTGGTACCATAAGAACCTTAGAAAACTTACCTAACATTATTATAACAAGCACAATTTAATTTAGCTATATCCAACTAAATACATTTTAGGTAAGTTTACAATAATTTAATAATAATAAACTCAATGAAAAAAAATTTTTTAGTTAGGTTCATTCTGAACCTAACGAAAAAAATACATTTAGTTTAGGCTAAATTAAGTTGCGTTTGTTTATATTATTAAAAGATTCGCCGGTATTCTCCCGGCCCGGGCCTTTTCCAAGTGGTGGCCCGGCCTTGGCTCCCTCTTTAGAGAGTGTCTGAGACCTAAGTCTCCCATGGGAGGAGGCACAAGTACCTCCTCATCTTTGGGACCAACTGTTCCCAGGCCTAGCCACAAGCTAGGCCTCTCTGGTCTGCCATCCCCGCCCCAAGGGGGCTAATGGGAATGACAGTCTTATGAGCTAAAGGCTCGGGCTCAGGCACCTACCCTACCCTAGAAGGGTTAGGCATGGTATCGATGTTGCTTTTTTTTTTTTATAATAAGATTAGATAAGTTTCTAAGGTTCCTTTGGTACAAAATTATTATTATTTGTATATGTAATAATTTCGCATAAATCATTCTGAACCTAACGAAAAATATATATTTCGATGTGTTTTTTTTATTAAATTATTGTAAACTTACCTAAAATATATTTAGTTGGATTTGGTTAAATTAAATTGCCCTTGTTATAATAAGGTTAGGTAAGTTTTCTAAGGTATTTATGGTACAAAATTATTATTTTATGCATTAACATAAATGAAAAAAATATATCTTTAAACGTATAAGACAATTTTAGAAATGACTTAATTTTAAATGAGTTCTTGCTAACTGACCAGTTTTACCTTCTCGGCACGTTATATATATATATATTATATATATATATATATATATATATATATATATATATATAATATATAGATGTATACATATATGCACCCTTCGTATTATAACCATACTGTCTCAAATTCAGTGAAATAATTTGATAAATGAACCACTCTCGTGACTGGCTACATCATTCTTGTACATACGTCGTTCTGAAACTAAAATTAAACAATAGCAAGGAAGCTTCCTGAAAGCTGCAACCTGAACAAATATTATTTGTAAAAACTTGCTGTAGTTATGGTGGAATAATAGTCGAAATATGTGTTAGCAATTCTTTATCAGGGTATTTTTACTGACTTCAATTTTTTTTAGTGTATTTTAGTGCCCCCTTGTTCCTTTCTTCCGAGATGGTCGAGCCCTTCGAGAGTATTTCCGTGTTACTGACCTATCATGAAAATGAGATGGGTTACTAGTTTGGGTTGTGAACGTCTTGAGATACACTACTGTTTTTAAATGGAGCACCGGTAGGTCAACAGACACTTGCCCACTTAACTGGTCGTCACCCAAACAGTCAGATGACCAGAAGCTCCAATGGCGGGACACCATTTGAATAAGACCCACGTCAGGAAACACTTGTCCTGTTCCCTGACAAATCTTACCTAACCTAATCAAACACAGCAAAAACAGGTCGTTGACAGATTGGGACCCGTGTCGGGTCTCTGTCCTGAAGAATATTATTACATCAATCATTCACAGGGTATATTCACTATTAGGTATATGTCTCTCAATATATGTACATGCAGAGAGTTTAAACACATTAATTCTGAGATTAAAGTATTCCTGACCGATGGTGAACAGATGGCATGCAGCCTTAATGACCCTCGTCTGTCGATTAAGCCCAATAAACCAACCCACTATTAACATTCATAACAGGAGACACTACTGCGTCCTGGCGAGCAGCATACAACCAGTTAATGACCTACCTTGTATTTTGGATACCCGTGAGACTGCCGACTTAAGACACTACTGGAAAGTGACCCTGTGATTTCTTAAATGGGGTGTCAAACCTAGCTCCATAAAGCAACAGAGGTTCAGCCACTCAATGGGTCGGCTGACGAAGGGTCATCTAACGTCTCCAGGAAGAGCGTTCAATTTCAAGACGAATATTTCATTTCCTGGGAAAATGTTTTAACTCCAGGTAAAATATCTCAGTTCTATGAACATTTCAATTACAGAAGGAATGCTGAAATTGCAGAAATACATTAGTTCCAGCAAAAACTGCTTCAGTTGCAGAAAAAACTCAGTTCTAGGAAATATACTCCAGTTTCAGAAAGTTCGATCATTTTACAGTAATTTCAGGAAAATCATTTCATTTATATGAGGAACATATACCGGACCGCGGGGGCGTTGATCCCCGGAATAACCTCCAGGTAACCTCCAGGTAACCTCCAGGTAACACTTCAATTGCCCAAACAGTAAGACTTTCCAGCAGCGTTCCCAAGGGTATCACTCTCACCCTTCCTGTTCAACCTTCTATAAAACTCTCAATATTTAGTTTACATAAATGGCTGCTAGTAGAATGATGTATATATTAATGTATAGGCTTTGTGTAGCCATCGTTAATTTCAAAATAAAAACACTGACACACGAATCAGTGCTCAAAACTTTACAACATTCAAAGTTTCGTATAAATGTCCAAAGTGTAGATGGGCGTATATTTCTCATACGCCACACACACACACACACACACACACACACACACACACACACACACACACACACACAGGTGGTGTGAGCTCGAGACACCGAAACGTTTCACGAAATCATTTACTAATTCCTTTTTCCCAAATACTAACATTAAAAATATTATAAAGACAGGAGCTTAATAGGATAATCTCGAGATACTCACAACACCTGTCAGTCAGTAGGTGAGACACCTACCGCACCTGTCATTCAGTAGATAATACACCTACTGACCCTGACTCGGACTCACTCCACCAAAATAATATCAGAGTCTCACTCCATCAGTTGTATTCATTCATGTATAGTGTTATTTCCCCTGTCCAATTATTGTAAATTATCACGATTAATCCCCTGAATGGAATTATGTAAGGGTAAGGAGAGTTGGGAGACAGTCCCTGAGACGGGAAGTAATTTTTAACTCCTCAAGGAATCATTTGGAACGACTCCTAACCTCCCTCTCTCACTCTCTCTCTCCCTTCTTTCGAAGAGAATATCAGTTGGTAGGATCCCTCGCCTCTTTTCTTGCTCAAAAGACCTCAGTTAGTAGGATCTCTCCTTACTCATAGGACCTCAGTTGGCATTCAGTATCAACAAGTCTGATTCCTGCAGACCCGTCCCCCACCCCTCAACTATCTCAATTTATCTGTACATTTGCAATTAGTGTTTTGTATCTTCTGCCAACCAGTGCTTAGAGTAGCTGAAGAAGGTGCTGCAGGAGTTGGTGAAGAAGGTGGTGAATGAGGTGTTGAAGGAGGTGATGAAAGTGAAAATGAAAAAGGTTAGGAAGGCGGTGGTGAAAGAGGCAACGGAAGAAGTGGTGAAGGAGGAGCTGAAGAAAGTGCTGAAGGAAGTACTGAAGGAGGTGCGGAAGAAAGTACTGAAGGAGGCGCTAAAGGAAGTGTTGAAGGAGGTGGTGTAACCGCCAGTGTCCTGTCATTCTTAGACTGTATTAACCTCCCAATCAATGAGTTGTGTGTTAATTTGGACAACATTTAGTATTACTGGAGTGGTGGTGGTGCTTTTTGTACTGTAACAATACTTATTTTATACGAGCCATGATAATAATAAATGAATGTTTATATTAGTCTCATTTATTGTCCTTTATAAGAGATTGTCAGAGTAAACACACACACACAGAAGGACAGAAGGGTTAGGGGAGACATGATAATGACATACAAGATACTGCGGGGAATAGACAAGGTGGACAGAGATAGGATGTTCCAGAGAGGGGACACAGGAACAAGGGGTCACAACTGGAAGCTTAAGACTCAGACGAGTCACAGAGACGTTAGGAAGTATTTCTTCAGTCATAGAGTCGTCAGGAAGCGGAATAGCCTAGCAAGTGAGGTAATGGAGGCAGGAACCATACATAGTTTTAAGAAGAGGTATGACAAAGCTCAGGAAGCAGAGAGGGAGAGGACCTTGTAGCGATCACTGAAGAGGCGGGGCCAGGAGCTGAGTCTTGACCCCTGCAACCACAATTAGGTGAGTACACACACACACACACACACACACACACACACACACACACACATATATATATATATATATATATATATATTACACCACAAACTATAAACAGGCTCAGTGTCTGTCGAGAAGTGCCTTTGATAAGTGATAACTAACACACTTTCTCTTTTGCTTAAATTAATTTATAGACAATGGAGAACAATTCCAAAGACATGACAGAAAATAACATCCATCAACACTACCATCACCACCACATCACCATCACCAAAACAATCATCACCATCACCTAAACAATCATCATCACCATCACCAAAACAATCATCATCACCATCACTACCACAACCATCATCACCACCACATCACCATCACCAAAACAACCATCATCACCACCACATCACCATCACCAAAACAATCATCACCATCATAGTCACCAAAACAATCATTACCATCACCAAAACAATCATCATCACCATCACCACAACCATCATCACCACAATTATCATCACCACCACCAGAACCACCATCACCCCACCAAATCACCGTCACCACCACATCATCGTCACCACCACACCATCATCACCACCATCACAACCATCATCACCATCACATCATCATCACCACCACAATTATCATCACCACCACCACATCGCCGTCACCACCACCCACTATCATCACCACCACCACCACGATCACCATCACCACATCACACACCATCACACCACACAAC